GTAACATTGTAGCTATCATTGAAACCAACATGAATATTCATGATGATGTTCGAAACATTGTAGCTATCATTGAAACCAACATGAATATTCATGATGATGTTCGAAACATTGTAGCTATCATTGAAACCAACATGAATATTCATGATGATGTTCGAAACATTGTAGCTATCATTGAAACCAACATGAATATTCATGATGATGTTCGAAACATTGTAGCTATCATTGAAACCAACATGAATATTCATGATGATGTTCGAAACATTGTAGCTATCATTGAAACCAACATGAATATTCATGATGTCAGAACTATAAGTAATAACACCTTGGGGCTTCAATATACAAACACTAATGATAAAGATGTCAAGCTAATTACTCATCAAAAACATTCAGACAAATTCTCTGAAGGACAAAGTGTTTCCATCAATGCCTATTACTCTGTTTCCTTGGCGTAGAAATCAGTGAACTTTGACGAAAGTGGTTGATTGTTGTTATCTTCATCCCTAAGACATTGCCTTTTCATGTCAGTTTGTCATATGACTTTACAATGTTTGTTTTGTGGAATGCTTGGATTCAAACGACAGTTAAAATGTTTTTTGTGAATGTACAATGCTGATTGATTAGAAATGATCATGAACACTTGTATGTTGTGCTAGATTGTTAAGTTGTCAATATCTAGCCCTATTCATCGCATTCTTACCTCTCTCCTGTAGTATTTTAGTGCAGTACAACTACTGCTTCCCATGCACATCTAATTAGAATATTTTGCATATTCATGACTTTCAGTCATTAATTATAACCACACCAAATCCGCAGTATTTGATGTATACATCATTGGGGTTGCATGACTGCAGCGCAACATTTAAGCGAGCTTTCAAAACTGACATGTGCACATGCATGTACATATCTAAATTGCGCAGAGTAATTTAGCTAAACATGTACTACATACTTGCTTGATATCCAACTTGGTATAATAGTTTCACTGAAAAAAAGATTTTGAGTCAACCTGAAACATATTTCACTATCCTTTTCATGACAGCTTGGTTTGGAAGGGTCAGATCTTGAATCAGTTCCATTTGATTACACCATTCCAGCATAAAAAGAAAGTTGTGTTTCCACTTTGCATGTCTGAGTAACATCACTCTCCAAAACAAGCTAAAAACGTAGAAGTGGGAATGCAAATTTGATTTTTTTTTTTGTGGATGGCCAAATGGAACACTAGTTAAGTTGTTTTGTGTGGATCAGTTAATGCAGTAGTAGTACGTGTTATGTATTATAACAGTGTAATTTCTGTTCTTTACTTCCTCTATTAGCGTCAACCGTGATATTTCAAATTATTTCTTGCCTGGTGTAAAGGCTAGGGACTCTCTCAGTAAGACTATGTTATCGAAAGACCCCCTACATTTCTGCTCATATTTTCAGCTTCTGTAATTTCACCCTCAAATCCTGTGTTGATTGAAATTTGTTTTTTTCAATTTCAATTTTAATATGTAATCCTTGTTTTTTCACAAAGGGATGCTGAGTTAATCCACTAGTTTATTGCCGTATGCTAATTTCCCTATTGATCTTAGATGCAGACATGCCTTCAGGTGACCCACTTACAAGTAACCATGACAACTTTTATTTGGCTCTGCGTCCTCTGTCAGTTTCTATCTGCTCTTCTTGAGTATTAATTTGGTGTTCTTTGAAAATAGATTCTTGTTTCTCTGTTCATTTGAGCTGAAGAGCCCTCTCAAATGCAGTGATTTATTACTTCGCTGTCTTTCCGAGAAATGTAAAAAAAGTTATTTTTTTGTTCTGATGCATCTTTCCTCACTCATAAATTATCATGATCTGAAAATTAGTACATTTAATTCAGAATAAAATATTAAAAATAGCAAAATGTAACAATTAAAATAAAGATATTAAATGACATTTGTATTTCGGAAAATAATGGAAGACAGGCAGGCTTCATCACACATTCCAACCATTTTTTAGTTGATGTGTCTTTTGGTTGCCATGGCAATCAGTCATAAAATTTCATGCACATGGACATTTTAAGATCATTTTTACACACAACTGATCAGGAGGAAATCACTTTAAATACCAATACGAACCCTGTTAGGATAGTTGCTGTTGCAATGCTACCCTACATGTATGCTTTGTTTAGTTCCGTTTCCAAGCAATTTGCAATTCTGCAAATAAAGGCTCTGTAGCTGGAAGTATGGTTAAATTGTCGCTCAGAACTCAGGCATGCGTGTAAAAAACCTACGGTAGTGTAATGCCAGCCAAAAATATTTGCACAGCGAAGCAGTCAAATATGATACATCATACTTCCAATTTCATAATTTGATTGTCAATCATTTTCTGTCCTGTTGATTTCACTCATTATGCTGACATGCTGTTTAGTTTTTTCATTGCTATCGACTTGAAATTTGTGAAAAATTTGTCTGTTGTGCAATTAAATTGTTTCACAGTATACTACAGGATGGATAAATTTGAATTCATCATGAACACCTGAAGAAAAGAAATTTCCTGAAATGTTCCAATGAGTGTTACCGGAAATAGCAAAGATATTCCCAGTGATTTACTCTACTGATAAAATAGTTGTCTGTCTGGATGCGTAAACTTGATTACCATGAGCAAACAGGATTTTAGTATTCATACTATCTAGAACAAATGAATATTATTCAGTGAAAAAAAATAAATATTGAACTTAAACATAGCTGACGTACTGTTCACTTTGCTTTTAACTTTCCATACATGTAGCTGTTAACACATTCATAGTCACGGTGCTTCCAGATACACCAGGGGCTTTGGCCATGCAAACTGTTATATGCTACCTTTTTGTCACGTTTACATGTACAATTCTATATACCCTGTATGTCTGGATTAATTTGCTGTACTTCTAAATATCATAGTCATATAAACTGATACAACTTCCTAGAGCCATATCATCATAACCTTAGTAATGTAATTTTCCCCAGGCGACATTTCCTGCAATCTGTATTTCCTGTGTGTCTACCCCCATGGCGCCGCTGTGCTTATCAGTAGAGTACCATCAAAGCAACTATTCTGGCGTCTGTAAACCCAGTTTGTCTTTTGCGGTATTATCCCTTCACTCCCTATGATAGATCATGGATGATTTGCGTTTAAGAATAACGTGGATTGATTCACATTGAACTAAAGACACAGGTTCCCCAATATGTTATGGGTTTTTTTTATAATTTAATATTTTTGTACATGCAACAATTCCCAACTTTTAATGTCATCATTGTTGTCTCTATTTTTTGTGTGCAGATGGTAAATTTACAAATAGTGCACTTTGCCATGGAAACCATATTCCATGTGTGGGACAATCTTTCTATTATTGTGAATATTCGTAGCAATGTGATGTGCTATCCCAGCATCAACCTTGCTAGGATTTATATAACCACCTGCATGATTTTAGTAAGGTTTTCCTGTTGTATATGTAAGTGAATTATTCTTGATAAATGGTTTTGGTCCTCCCTATCAGTCTATGACATACTCAGCCTGGCAGGGGGTCAACCACATTATCGATTGTGCTTCCAAACCACTGATTACGTTTTTTTTTCTCATTTAATCAGATATCCGGAAGACAAAGTTAAAGAGAAGGTGGCAATCTTTCGGCAGATGCTGATGGACAAAGAAGGTGTAGTTGTGAAAGATGATGAAGAGAGCAGACCAGTGTAAGTAAACATCCCACTGTAACCATGGCAATTTGGCATCCGGGAAGACAAATTCTCGTCATATTTCACAATGAATGAATGAATGAATGAATGAATGAATGAATGAATGAATGAATGAATGAATGAATGAATGAAAATTATTAAATGATTGAGGATCATTTGATATGTTGATTAAAATAAGTTATTGTGATCACCGATATATTTATAAATTTTACATATTTTTCACTGACATTCTTTATTATCATATTTAATCATAATAATGTATTACAATGGTTCGTCTCTATCTTCTTGATTAATTTGATTTTCACTGTAACGTGTGGTTCATTTTGTCCAATACATGGAACTGATTTGTTACAAATTACATTAAAAATATGAAAGATATTGTATTTTGCATTTGACTTGAATGTAAGAAAAACAAGATAATATGCCATTGTCATGACAAGTGATTCTACTTTTGTTCTTACCAGTAATATATTACAACATTTGTGATAAGACTGTCAGGTCATTAGATCATATATTATAGTGTACTTGTCTCATGGAAGTAACTTACTAATGGAGTTGTAAGCAGATTACAGTTTACTGAGCAATAGCAGGTCATGACTCTCCACTACAACTGTATCTATGTGTTTCTGTTTTCTGAACACAGCTTTTTGTTTGTTATGTCTGCCTTTCTTCTGTTTTTTGTACATCATTCATAACTGGTACAACCCTGTTGCCATTGGTTGGAAATGAAATATTAATGTTCCCTGTCCATTGCACAGGTTGGTGAATAAAAGTGGTTTTCGCAATCAATAATGTACATTTCCTACAGAAAGATAATTAATCAATACATCGTTTGAAATAAATTTTTCATTTTTATTCCATGGATACAACATTAGCATATTTGGTCTACCACATTTTACTAGATATTAAAAACTCAACCAGCCCTTTTACCTGTATGATGAATAGTGGTAGTGTCGGCCTTCTTGTTTTATTTTTCTATGCTGGTCATTAAGAAAATTTCTAGAAAAATAATTTCTTATGATGTAGATTACCAATGTGAATCTGCTTTCAAATTGACGGAAAAGTTGAATTTATTTGACAGTCGCAACTAAAAAGTGTCTTAGTTGATGTTTGAATTCATTATCTAAGTATTACATGTAGTATTGCCCTGACCCCTGACCTTGATGGTTCTAAAAAAAAATACAGAAAATTTAAGAGAAGGCAAGCCCTACAGATTCATTTGTTTCTATGGAAACAATGACTTTGTATTTCCTCAGTATCATTATCGCCAGTATGGGCTGCTTTTATCAACTGAAATAAATGGAAGTGTGCAAAATGAGCATTCTTCTTGGCTCTCAATGAAAGTACATGTATTCCCTACAAAAAGTACATTGTACATGTATGCCTGGTTTCTTTGCACCGTGATGACCATTTGGAATTTGGTCAATTACTACCCATCATTATGTCGATGAACGCTCCACATCGTCTCCAATCAAAGCAATTTGTTGGTCAGTAGATCCCAGACCCAATAATAAAGTCCATTTAGTCATTAAGAGAACATGTAGTCTAATTGCTTGCATTAGTATTCAGGTGTGTAACAACTATCTTTCTTCCCAATGTACAAACAAGTTCTTATGGATAGCTGCTACTTACATGTACTAGTAAAAATACGTAAAAAAAAAAATAGAAATTCTTGATTCTAGTTTTCCATCAAATAATTACTATTTTCTATGGAAACAGTGACTTAGTTATTTCTGCATAGCGACACATTGCCGGGTTTTTTTTCCCAATAATTTTGGCAGTCGGTGGAATGTTTCAGCTGGCGCTGTCTTCAACCATATTTGGGCATTGTGAATTCAAAATTGATCAAAATACATACTATTGAGATTCATTCAAAAACAAACACGCGTTAGCCTCATCCATCCTAAAGATGCACACTTCAATGAATATATGATTCATATTATCTTATTTGGTATTCATGTCAGATTTCATCGCTGTCAACTGTCAAAGCTTATTAGTATTCTTGCTGCGTACTGTTGCCTAATCACTGATCTCAACTTCTTGATCCGCGAATCCTGTCGTCATCGATTTATGGATCCAGTGGAGGGCATTAATTAAAAGCTGAGAAGATTTATCTGTAATATTTGAATTCCGTGCTGTCGATAAATGACGCTGATCGTTATCTGAAATGAGCTAGAGTTATGTAATTTATGCTTCAATGATACATTCAATCATGAAAATTTGTGTTTGAAGACACCGTTCTTGTAAGTTGCAGCCTCGAGCGACGAAGCCCTTATGACACCAAAATGATGTTAGATATAGATACTTACTGCCCAGTCTTTCAGGAAGGTAATTTTGTTTGGCTGTGTAGTCGTTGATCACTAGTACTGCATTATGTCCATTAGAAGCGCATACATGTACCTTACAGACGTGCATATAAATCAAAAATTGCATTGGCTGTTGATTGAATCATTAAAATATTACTTTTTTGACATTAGAAATGCCGCAAATTTACGCACATGCATTACTAATGGCAAATATGGTATCGAAATTCTCAATAGTTTTGTTATTGACTGACAACAGATCAAAGCATTATGAACGCATCTGCCCACTTACGTCATAGAATCGGTTATTTGTGAGACTTAACAACTTGCAGTAAATAAGTATAGAAAAATAATAACGTAACATGTATTCAATATTTTGGAGAAAAATTAAACCTGGCTGATTTTAGTATGACTAACATTCTCAGTGTTAATGTCATGTATCGTGGTCTTTGTATTTAGTATTCATCTTGCTACCTAGCTCATTCAACTGTGACTTTCAGACCAATCTGACTCAGACTGTATCCAAGATATATCAACACTTTTATTCATTTTGCATTCTGGATCTTGAAAAAATACTTGCATAATTAATTGAGCAAAGCCCATTAGATGTTGTCACTTATAAAATATTCATGCTGCTCGTGGTTAGTAATGCATTTGTGTGGGATCTCTTCTGCTTTCTTTAGCGCCATATGTGACTTGTGTTTTCCAGTATAGAAATCTATTTAGAAAATACAGTTATTATCATGGCATTTAATACATTTAATTGTATTGTATTTTGTTCGTTAGATGAAGTATTTACAAATTGTGGTGTTTTGTTTGACAGGCCATCTGGAAAAATTTAAAAGTGAACTGTCTTTTATGCGGAGTGTATCGATAGTGAGCCCATTAAACTATTATTGATTCAAATGCGTGGTTTAGAATTAAAATGAGTGCAGGAATGAAAAAGTCGGAAAAACAAATTCCAGTTTTTGAATTGTTCACCACTGAAGTAGCAAGCCCTGAGGGATAATTACTTGACACAGCTAATCAAATTTTGATCTACGTTGACATTCAGTCCTTGTAGTATCTTTTACTTTGTTTTCCCCAAAGTGCTGTCTGATTTAAGAAAATGGTTTTAAGTCTGGTTATAAATACATATAAACTCCCAATGGGAATAAATCTGTTTCTAATTCTTCTCAGTACTCTGTGATATAGCGTTTTGGGATGCCATCAACTTTTATTTCATGTCCGGTTTATGTAAAATTTGACTTCAATTTAGTTTCTATGAATGTTTCCTCATTCATTTTGGCTATCCAATTAAATTGACTGATTTGCATAAGATTTGAATATTGAACAGACATGATTATGATTGGATCAGAAATGTGTTGGGCAATTTGCATTTCATTTGCATAAAATTTAAATATTAAACAGACAGACAGAGCAGCTTGTTTGTCAACAGTTTTTTTTAAATATATAAAATTTTTCACAATAGCAAAATTGGCCATCATATAAGCCCTTAGACAAACATTTGTAAGACATATTCACTGTCGTATTCGTCTATACATGTATATAAGCTTTCAGATGATATATAGGTTGTTATTGTAGCATGTTAGTAGTAAATTGAATCTGAATTACAAAATAATTTTTGACATGTTTAGTAGGGGATCTTAATTTGAAGTAGGTAATTTGTTTTTAGTCCCCATTCAGACGCAGTCCGAAAAGGGGGCTTATGTTTTGACCTCCATGCTTCTGTGCGTTCTTGTGTGCGTCCAGACCTGCATCTTGGAAATGCCTGGACCAAACACAATCAAACTTCACACATACATCATACATGATATTATACATATGCACATCAATTTGTTTTCACGATCTGATTCAAGATGGCCGAATGGCGGCCTTTTTTATTCTAAAAATCATCAAAATCAAGCATTTTTCGGCTGTTTACAGATGGATTTTTTTTAAACTTGATATATACGTTGGGCATTATAGGACCTTGATGCACATCATTTTGTTTTGAGATAAGATTAAAAATGGCCGACTGGCGGCTATTTTGTTTTAATAAATGTGGTTCTAGTGCCATATCTCTGACTTGCTTTGACTGATTATGTTCAAATTATATATTCATTATACATCATGTCATAAATATACAGATATATTGGTTTGATGATCCTATTAAAAATGGCTGAATGGTGGCCATTTTTGTGCTAAAAAATCATCGAAATCAAGCATTTCTCGGCTGTTTGAACATGGATTTTGTTCAAACTTGGTATATACGCTAGACATTATAGGACCTTGATGAACATCATTTTGTTTTCCAAATAAGATTCAAAATGGCCGACTGACGACCATTTTGTTTTAATGAATGTGGTTCTAGTTTCATATCTCTGACTTGCTGTGACTGATTATGTTCAAATTTTGAATATTTATTATACATCATGTCATAGATATACAGATATATTGATTTGACGATCGTATTAAAAATTGCTGAATGGTGGCCATTTTTGTGCTAAAAATCTTCAAATATCAAGCATTTCTGGCATTTATACATAGATTTTGTTCAAACTTGGTATATACATTAGACATTACGGGTTCCTGATGCACATTATTTTATTTTTTAGATCGGATTCAGAATGACTGACTAGTGGCCATTTTGTTTTAATGAATGGGCTTCTAAAGCCATATCTCTGACATGCTTTGACTGACTATCTTCAAATT